TCTGAAACAAGTGGCTTTCCCACAGGATCAGTCTTGGGGCCCCGTTGTTTTTTATATATTATCAATGATCTTGATGAGGGAATTATAGTGATATGAGCAAATTCGCCGATGAACAAAGATAGGTAGGAAAATTGATTCAAACGTAGTGTTATGGAACTTCAGGAGGATTTAAACAAACTCTATTCTTGGTCAGAAAAGTGGCAGATGCAGTTCAATGTAGATAAATGAAAGGGTTTGAAGCTTGGGAGTGCCCATAACCCTAGTACTTTAAGTTAAATGATGTAGAACTTACCCATACAGATTGCGAAAAGGACTTGGGGGTTATGGTGAGCAGCAACCTTAAACCAAGACAGCAATGCCTAAGCGTACGTAATCAGACAAATAGTTTTACTGGGATTTATATCAAGAAGTGTAAGCAACAAAGTCCAGAGGTCATCTGCAGCTTTATACATCATTAGTAAGGCCTCACCTAGATTATGCAGCTCAGTTCTGGTCTCCATATTACAGAATGGACATAAATTCGTTAGAGAACATTCAGCGTAGGATGACTAAATTAAAACATAGCATTAGAAATTTTTTCCCTTTGTAAAGGGAAAGATTGAAGACTCTTAAGTTACATTCACTTGTTAGACGAAGAATGAAGGGAGACCTGATCGAAGTGTATAAGTGGAAGATAGGTATTAATAAAGGGGTTATTAATAAGGCCCTTGAGGATGTCTCTCCAAGAGAAAACCCCGCAAGTAATGGATTTAAATTACATAATTTTAGATTTAGAAAGGACATAGGAAAGTATTGGTTTGGAAATAGGGTAGTTGATGAGTGGAACAGTTACCTAGTTGGGTTATTGAGGCTAGGACTTTGGGTAGTTTAAAATTTTAGGTTGGATAATACATGAGTGGGAGGGGTTGGATTTGAGTGGGACTTTCACATCAGAGTTTATTTCTTGGGTGGCATTGAAAATTGGGTTGGGCAAATGTTTTGTTAGTGGGATGAATTGTAAAGGACCTGCCTAGTATGGGCCAACAGGCCTCCTGTAGTGTTCCTCCTTTCTTATGTTCTTATGTTATAGTGGCGTTAAAAAGAAAAAAAAATAGGAATTGTTTCGTTATTATGAGAAAGAAAAATCGGAATAGTGGAGATCATACTGGTATATTAATTAACACTGAGAATATTTCCTGAATATTCTAGAATGTTCTGACACATCGAGTATTGTCTGTTGACAAAATGAGGGCATTTATTCCTTCTGTTTTATTAGTTAGAAAGTTGTATACAATAGCTACATTGTGTATGTGGATGATACACTACAACAATGTAACTTCTTGTGTCACATGACCTGTTCTAAGCAGATACAGCTTAGGGCTG